AAAAGCTTGGCGTGCTCAGCAGAGCGGGACAGTATTTAATGCCATCACACCGCCTACAATTTACAAGGCGCAGGTTTGGCCGCACAGCCACCAGCTCCTTCCACTTGACCGCATCCAGCGCAGAGCGGCTCGAATCGTCGACGACCGAGTGCTTTCCGATCTGCTCGATTCACTGGCACTGTGAAGAGATGTTGCATCTCTTTGCATTTTCTTTCGCATATACTATGAAGAGTTCTCTGAGGAATTGTTCGGATTAATCCCAGCCGCCAAATTTCGAGAACGCACTACGCGGCAAACGTCCCGATACCAATCACACCATCTGGATGCTTGGCGGTCCACCACTGTACGTTTCAAAAGGAGTTTTCTTCCTTGTACAACCTCTCTGTGGAATAGTTTACCACCGGCGATTTATCAGGACCGTTACGACCTGGGGACCTTCAAGAAAAGAGCTTACTCCTTTCTAAAGGGCCGGCAACGCACCTGCAATTCTCCTGGTGTTGCGGTTGATCGTGGGCGGCGGTAGTTACTTAACGTCAGGTGAGCCGTATGCTCGTTTGCCCCCTCTTCTATAAAAAAAATATTAAGGCTGGCTGCTTTTTCTCGCTAAACTTTTGGCGTGAGAAGAACCAGATTATTTGTGAATATGTATTTTAGGAAAATCTCTGCGCTAAATTGTATCATCGAAATAAACAATTTTTACGGATTTTATCAACTATATTCACTTATTTTCTATTTCCGACGTTTCGAGCTCTTTACAACAGCCATGATCGCAGGGGTGACGGAGACGGTTCAACATTCTAATGTCATAGTTGAGAACTATATAACGAAGTTACTATACGCTATAAAATACATGGAAACCACTTTTACTATGTAGTATTTACGTAAACATATCAAGCGGCACCATACCCAAGATTTTTTGTGGCAAACGAGCGCACAGTCAATTTAATGGTAAGTGGATGCTGTGACCCATAGATATCTTCATCTATCCTCAATTAAGGATCAAAATGCAGATGCGTCGCTACCCCTGGGGACTAATATGAAATTACTCGTTTTCGATAAAAAGTGTCTCCGGTTCTCTATACCATGTACGTTTCAAAAGGAGTTTTCTTCCGTAAACTTCTGTGGAATAATTTACCACCGGTGATTTTTCCAAATACTGGGGACCTTCAAGAAAAGAGCCTCCTTTCTAAAGGTGGTAAGTGTCTCCGGTTCTCTATACTCACCAAACAAAACACAACAGCATTGAGCTGGTATTCTGTGAGAGCGTGATCCTTCCCGTTTGAGCCGACCCATTCGTGCTGCAACTATAATATAGCTGCAGCATGGCTTTACCACGTAAAGAAATCGCACAAATATGAGACTTATTTCTGTCCCCTTGACCAAGCGAAGCACTTCTGATACCGTTCTTACGATCAGAATAATATCCTAGTCGCTATGATCATCCATCATAGCCTTTAAAACTTCACTGCTGAACATACGCCTCTCGGGATTGTCTCATTGGGGAACTTTGCTATAGTTGCCACGCTTGGCACACGGACTGGCAATCGCAGTTTTCTCATCGGAATCATCAGAATCATCAGAAATCATCAGAAAGGTGCAACTGACCAACTTGTGTTTTAATTTCCGTCTGTCGCCTCTTACGATACCCCGGGACTAAATGGGGTAGTGGATATTCTGACACCGCCACTACATGGTTAAGTCGCTTCTGCCGTGGATACCGGCAACTAACCACAAATTAAAAAGACTTCACAGCCCGCAAGTATACTGGTTGTCAATGTCATTCAGACTGGAACACACCAGAGAATGCACTGCTATTTGGCGGCAGGTAGAAGGTTGGCACGTACCCAGACGACTGGACTACAAGGGAGGTCTACCACAAAAAAAAAAACAATAGTTTTGTTTTACGTAATAGAGCAACGCTGCAGTAATATTATTGTTATAGCACGCATGGGGTAGGACCCCGCTCTCAAAGAATACCAGAGTAAAATGGGCACTTAATGTTGCTGTGTTTAGTGTGATGAGTATAGAGATCCGGAGACCCTTTTTTATAGAATAAGGGTGACAAACTGACTCTGACGACTCTGTGGCGCAGTGGCTTAAGCAATGAGTGGCTGCGCTGGGGGTCGCGGGTTCGAATCCCGCACGGAACACGTATTTTTATGGCCTACAAATAGTTGTTTCGGGTCTGGATGTTTGTCCTTGTGTAATTTATGTTTGTAAACTAGAGATACAAGAGAAAATCTTAGAGTAGGGGTAACGTTTCTTTTAAAAGCAAAAAAGAAAAAAGAAACGAGCACACAGTCCACCTGATGGTAAGTGGATGCTGAGGCCCATAGATATCTACATTTATCCTTGAAGAAGAATCAAAACTGAGGACTAAGATGGAATGCCTCGTTTCCAGTAAAAAAGGGTCTTCGGATCTCTACACTCACCATACGCAGCACAGCAGCACTAAGCTGCTATTTTACGCAGGTATTCTGCAAGAGCGTGGTCCTTCCCCGGTCGAGCCGACACATTCATACTACAACCATAACGAGGCATTCCATTTTTGTCCTCAGGAGTGACAACGCATCTGCATATTGATTCTTAATACTAATAATACTAGTTTTTACGGAATTTATCGCGTATATTTAACTTTTTAATTACCCGACGTTTTACGACGACGACGACGTTAACTATGACAGCTGGACGTTGAACATCTCAGTCCTTCCCGTGACCATGGGTGCTGTAAAGCTCTCGAAACGTCGGGTAATTAAAAAGTTAAATATACGCGATAAATTCCGTAAAAACTAGTATTATTTCAATAAATGTAGATGTTTATGGGCCACAACATTCACTTACCATCAGTGGACTGTGTGCTCGTTTCTCACCCTTAACTATAAAAAAAACTTAAAATTGTAAAAATATTCGATGTGGATTTGAACTTAGTACCAAACGGACGTATACCATAACTGCCATACCATTCGTTCGATATAATAATTTCTAAACTCGAAAGCTGTAATTGGACCCGCATGCACACATATAGGTTCGATCACAAAAAATATGTTGTAGATATCATGTCATCATTTGCACAAGTGTTGACAGCAGACTTTGCTTGCTTTTAATTCATTTATAATTATTATTACAACCCTTAAAAGTCCACTGCTGGGCATATGCCTCCCCATAGGTTGCCTCATAGGGGGGATTTTGCTTTAGTTGAATTTTTTGTCTTTTATATCAAAATGTTTAAAATTGTTATTAGGCAAAAATTGTTTAGTAAGAGTACATGGTTGAACTAAGTACTAACTACTAACTTGAGAATTAAATGAGTGCAACTATGCTGTTAGAAACAGCATAGTTGCACGTTTTCATATTTATTTTTCGGACTAATTCCAGCCGCACAATTTCACCATCGCACATCGCGACGAAACTGGCGATACCATCCATACCATCTGGATGACTGGCGGTCCACTACCGTGCGATTAAAAAGATGTTTTCTTACTTGCACAATTCCTTGTGGAATCGACTACCACCAGAGACTTTTCCGGACCGATACGACTTCAAGAAAAGAGCCTACTCCTTTCTAAAAGGCCTGCAACACATCTGCAATTCCCCTGGTGTTGCAGTTGCTCATGGGCGGCGGTAATCACTTACCATCAGGTGAGCTGTATGCTCGTTTACCCCTTATGCTAAAAAAAAACAATTGTATAATATTTCATAATTTTAAATAGTATTTTTAATAAACTTCGCACTGGGTTTCTTTCTGCTTCTCCGTGACAGAGGTTTTTTTCGAACCAGTAGTAAGGCTTAAACTACTTTCAATATTATTGAATATTATTTTTGTAATCTATACGTAATAAAATGATTCTATTCTATTCTACTCTATTATTGCCTCTCTATCTCTCAGTCTCTCCTCATCTCGTCGGACAGATTCGTATCGCAGTCCCATATAGAACCTTAAGTCAGTAAGTATCCCCGTCAGATTACCCTCGGTTTCCAGATTTTACTGTTGTTACGTTTAGGCAACACTCTTGATACCCATTGGTCTCGATATCTTAAAACATCACTGCATTGACGTCAATTGTTAATGAGTAGTTATTGTAATTAATTTTAATTTTAAAATTTGATTTTCCAAATATCAAATTTTTAAATATCTAAACTTGTTTTTGAGGTCTCTAAATCTAGGAGTAGAAGTATAATCGTATACAATGTTAAATACGTATGTTCTTAACATGCATACTATTTGACACGTGACTGAGCCATGCTGCAGTATATGGCGAATGAGTCGGCTCGATCGGGGAAGGACCACTCTCTCACATCTCACCAGCGTAAAATAACAGTTTATTGCTGCAGTGTTTCGTATGGTTAGTGTAGAGAACCGGAGACTATTTTAACTTGGATATGAGGCATTCCATCTTAGGCCTCAGAGGTGACATTGCACCTGCATTTCAATTCTTAATCGAGGATAGATGTAGATGTCTATGGGCTACAGCATCCAATTACCATCAGATGGAATTTGTGCTTGTTGGCAATCCGTATTCTATTTTTTAAAGCTATGAATTTACTAACGTACGAATCTACAGATAAACACACAGACGAACTCCTTTTAAAACAATAGCAATTTACACCTCAATGAAGATTAAAATTTGCGCTTTGGAAGTGAAAAATGCTTCTTTAAACAATTTTTCTTAAAAAAAAACGTTATCCAAACTAAGATTTTCTTCTGTATCATGGAGGTAGTTCACATACACAATTGCACAAGGACAAACATTCGGACCCAGAACAATATTATTTATGGTTTTAAGTGTATACAAATTCTTGCTACGTGCGGGATTCGAACACTCGGCCTTCAGCGACGAAAGGCTGGGCCACTGCGTCACGGAGCCGTCAATTTTTACATACGGACATATCGCTGTCAGCTTGTATATATATATAGATAATACTCTATCATTAAAATATGACGAACCATAGATTATATAACTGCTATATAATAGCTTGTTCAACAGCTTAATCATAGTAAAATGACGTGTTCTTACAAAGTTGCCTGTTTTCTGCTGGGATTTTTGCTATTTGAAAGTTGTAAGTATGCTCAATCTTCGTATTCTCATTTTTCTCCTTTTAGGAAGCTGTTTGAAGATACAAAGATTATTATATCTTTTCTACTTCTTTTATTGAATTCACTTTATATGATAGCGTATTCTCTGAAGTCAACCACTTCACGGTAGATAAACTGTAAATAGAGTAAAATAAGCAAATTTATAAACAATATATTCATTGGAGCTGTGGTAGCTGGGATAGTCAGCACTCGCTGTAAATTTCACAGTACGCGAGCAAACCGCGTTCAATCCCCGCCGGCACAAATTAAATTGTTATTGCAATTTTAAATGCTGAATTATTACGTGCTCGGCGATGAAGGAAAACATCGTGAAGAAACCTGCATGTCAGAGAAATAAGAAAAAAAATATTCGAAGACATGTGAAGTTCGCCAACAGCATTGGGGCAGTGCGGCAGACAATTCCTTGCCCTAAAACCTTCTCAAAATTTAACAGAGGCCTGTGCCCAGGCGTGGAACGTATATAGACTGTAACTTTAACTTTAAGCAAGTTCATAATAAATAAAAAGTAATAACTGATAACTGTATAAAAAATTTCAGATGCCTTCGCAACCGAAAAGAGTTTTCGACAGAAACGGTAAGAATTTCATACTTTATATCATATATACAGATCAGACCTTCTGGTGTAGTATGGTGTAAGAATATCCTCTAGCCCATATCATCCCGTGGGTGTCGTAAGAGATGACAGAGCGAAACGAACCAGGAGATGGGCAGCAACGTCTTCCTGATATTAACGACTATAATACTAGAGGGTATTTATATTCATATTCATATTATTTATTGCATACATAATGTTACAGTTAAGGTGTTAAGAACATTTTAAGTTTTAACTTAAAACTATGAGATCATTATGGGCACGGCAATTAAGAGAGAGGGGGGCCATTTTAATGAAACATTAATGATGAATACACTATATAATATAGCAACTGTAGATATTCTAGGTAGACATTTAAAGTTTTTTTTAAACGTTACCCCTTTTTTTTTTACATGGGGAAATGCCTACGCATACCCGCCTCGCGGGGGCAACGACGGGTTATGTCGGACTCGCACCGACTAAAACCCCATGGTGTTCCACCTTTGTCGCATATTGGCAGGGCTACGGGAACGCTTTCGCACACATCCGCGGCCCTACTAGCGCCTGCCGCCCCATGGCAGCACCTCCTCGGGAGAGGAAAATTCCTCCCCGTTCTCCTTCCCAGGTAAGGCGCACCAGAACACATGGCGCGCCTTCCTCCACGGCCTCCAATTACGTCTGTGCAACAGACGCCCCCCGCGTCCGATGCACAAAGGCCATGGGGCCAGGAAAAACGAGCACTTAGAAGTACTAGCCTTCCCGACCCCGGCGGCGGATCTGGTCTATGGCTCCGCCGCCAACCAAGATTCGGCTGCGGAGGGTAGGGAGAGCGGCGCCTCGCAATACCGACAATCCTCTCCCCCCGCAGCCCCACCACCACCGCATCAACGGTGCGGCCCCGTTTGAGTCGCGGAGGATAGGGCGAGTGGCGCATCGCCATACCAACACTCCTCTTCCTCCGCGACTCCACCTCGGCTGCAGCGGTGGGTGGTGAGGACACCCCTCTAACCACAGTCCACCAACACACATCCGAAGTGGGCTCCCCAAGCCCACACGGAGTGGCCACCTCGGGCCGGCCCTCCACCTCGGGCCAGCCTCGTGGGTTCCTCTTTGTTCACCGCGGGCGACCAAGCCACGGCTACTAAGCCCCCCCGCCACGACAAGGCGGGAACCCGTTCGGGGGGGAAACGTTACCCCTACACTAAGATTTTCTATTGTATCGTGGGGGCAGTTTACAAACATAAATTGCACAAGGACGAACATCCAGACCTGAAACAACTATTTGTAGGCCATACAAATACGTGTTCCGTGCGGGATTCGAACCCACGACCCCCAGCGCAGCCACTCATTGCTTAAGCCACTGCGCCACGGAGTCGTCAAAGTTTATCATTTAGGTATTCGTTTAGTGTGTAGTAGTGTTTACAAATTAAAAATTCCTTTAGTTTATTTATGAAATTAGTGTTTTATTCTATTTTTTTTATTGAGTTTGGGAGTTTGTTAAAAATTTTGATAGACATGACGAAGACATAGGTAATATAGTCATCCGGTTAATATGGCCACTCTCTTATAAATCACACACTACCTACAGCATTGTTTGCATATATGGCTCTGTTACACGATTTTTTTATATAGGATAGTGTGACAAACGAGCACACAGTCCACCTGATAGTAAGTGGTTGCTGTGGCCCGTAGACATCTACATCTATTCTCGATTACGAATAAAAACGCAGATGCGTTGCCACCCGTGAGGATTAAGATGGAATGTCTTGTTTCCAGTAAAAAAGATCTCCGGTTCTGTACACTCACCATACGAAACACAGCAGCATTAGGCTACTATTTAACGCTGGTATTCTGTGAGAGCGTGGTCGTTCCCCCGATCGAGTCGACCCATTCCTGTTATAACTATACAACTAATATAACTGCAGCGTGACTCTACCACGTATAAATAGCTATTCATCAGTCAATCAAATAATAAAGGTTTAAAAGGGCGATACTTTATCGATGCCATTCCGACAGTTGACACTACAGTAAAATATTTTAGTCGATTTTAGTGTGGTGTAGTGTAGTTAGTTCTTTTTTAGTAGATTTCTCGAAGTGTTCCTAATTATTTCAAAGCTTGTTTTTTCTTAATATATTAGATGTAGTATACGAATTTGTCTTTTTGTCTCTGTCCTGCTTCTAGTTTTGGCCTCAAAGCTGGTGACTATATTACCCTTACGTACATAAGAAACAAAAAAAACTGCGGTTACCAACCAACTTGCCAAGGGCGGCAACTATGGCATATCTCTCTAAGACGCAATTTGTGGGGGAGGCCTGTGTTTAGCAGGGGACTTTAATTGTCTGTTACGGTCACGGATGAGCAGTTCGGAAGCATTGATAACCATCTTGATTGAAAGCTTCTGAACATAGACCTCCTCCATATATTGCTGCAATCATAGATTGTCCGCGATGGACTCCTAAACTACTTAACCGTTTTTAACTAAATTTGCACACCGTGTGTAGTTTGGCCAACTTGAGAGATAGGATAGCTTTTTTGCCCATGAGTTACCCAAATAAGAATAGAAGGGGAGTTGATCGAGCAAGTAGATGAGTTTGTATATTTGGGCTGCGTATTTAGCAGGGATGGGAGATATGATAAGGATATAGAACGACGAGCGAATGCGGGAAATAGAGTAAATGGGGCCTTGCACTCTATTGTGAAGAGTCAAAATGTGTCGAAAAAGGCACTTATGGCAATTCACAATGCTGTGTTGGTCCCTACTTTAACGTATGGTAGTGAAAGTTGGGTGTGGCAGAAGAAGCACGAGAGTAGAATAAACGCAGTAGAAATGCGGTCGTTAAGGAGTATGTTAGGGCTGAATCTAAATGACAGGGTAAGAAATTGTGTAATAAGAGAAGAGTGTTGTTTGCAAGATGATGTTGTGACCAGGATTAAGAAAGGAATGCTTCGGTGGTTTGGTCATGTGGAAAGAATGAATGAGGAAAGAGTGACAAAGAAAATCTATGGTGCAGAAGTGAATGGCAGAGTCGGAAAGGGACGTCCTAGGCGAAAATGTATCGACCAAATTGGCGATTTATTGAAAACGGGCCAAATTAGGAGTACCCTTAACCGACGAGCATGTATGCGTAGGTGTATGGATGTGAAGGAGGCAAGAGAGGTGTGTCAGGATCGTGCCAAATGGAAGTCTGTAGTCTCTGCCTACCCCTCTGGGTGACAGGCGTGAGTGTTTATGTTATGTTATGTTATGAGTTACCCACAAATTTTTTTTCGCGAATTTAAGGATTTTTAATATGACATGACAAAGGGTCGTCCAAAAGGGCAGAACGACGTCTGCCAGGCAAGCTAGTCTTAATATCTTAATATATGTAAATTGCGTGTCACGTTGTTTATCCGCGATGGACTCCTAAACTACTGAACCGATTTTAATCAAATTTGCACACCGTGTGCAGTTTGGTCCAACTTGAGAGATAGGATAGTTTTTTTGCCCACATTTTTTGCAAATTTAAGGATTTTTAACAGGACATGACAAATTGTCGTCGAAAAGGGCAGAACAACGTCTGCCTGGCAAGCTAGTATATATACTGGACCTTTTTTTACCGTCTAAAAAAATAGAGTGTAACATGTGAACACAGTAGAAGCCAATGGCACTGATAATCATAACCATACCAACCCTAGCCTGTGAACCTGTGAAGTGACAAGGTCAAAGGTGCCTACAAAATAATGTATTTAAATCTAATCCGTTCACATGTTACACCCTATTTTTTCCAGGCGTTAAAAAAGGTCAGCCAGTATAATATATGACGTAGTTGTTTGACTGCAAGGTTGGAAAACGCAGTTTTTTATTGTTGTTATAAAAAACTCTACTCATTTCCTGGTTTGTTTCACTCTGGCGCCTCTTACGAAACTCACGGGATGACATAGGGTGTATATCCTTATAAAACCGGTTGATGGAAACGATGGGTGTTATAGTTGTAGCACGAACGGGTCAGCTCGGCCGCGGTACGACTACTCCTCGCGGTAGGACTGTATGATAATTTAAATTTTTACTTTTAGTTTGATTAGAAACATTTCGTGTAAAACATCAATAGGTGCGCCATGGCAGTAAAACCGACTCGTGGTATTGATCCCTGTGTTCGCGAATACGTACACTTTGTTGCTTCTGTGTGAGTTTTATACTGCGTGTATCTTTCTATTTGACTATAATATACTTGATGCGTTCACATTTGTTCCGGGGGTCCGCACTCCCCTACTCGGACAGCGGTTAGATAGTAATCTTTTTTAATGCACGGAAACCAAAAATATTAAAAAGAAAATACACCAATAATAGTAATTTTCAAACTTTCTCAAAATTTTTAGCTGCATTGTTGTCCAAAAGCAATCAGGAACTCATGGCGATAGCACTGAAGACGGTGGTGGTGACGAAGATCGATCCTCTGAGCCCAGGGACTTCAAACCTCATAGGAAAAGGGTTCAAGACCCGCTAGAAAACATACATCACGATGTAGAGGTAAAACAACTTTTATTTATTAAAAACAAATATAAAAGGGAGAATGTGTATTTGAAGTAAAAGAATCTATTATTCCATCTCCACCGTTAGATGTCGTTAGTGTTGACTGTGCAAAATTCCAGAAAACTCTATGGCCTCCCAAAAGAAATTGCTGGCAGTATATAACACGGACCGGCAACAGGAAGATGTTTCTTAATTAATCTGCCATACCTACCTTTTATTATAAGGCAATGTCAAATTTCCCCCTCAATCAAACAATTTTTTACGTGGATTAGCAGAAAGGCCACACTCTCACAGAACATTATCGTATTTAGCAGCTTTATATAGAGATCCGGAGACCTTTTTTACTGGAAACTATTTCATCTTACGGCATTTCATGTTAGTCCTATTTAGAGCGTAATTCGGTTTATATTCCATGTTGACATTGCATCAAGTAACGTCTTGTGTGTTTGTGTTATGATGTGTGAGATGGCGCTGTAATACAATTAATTTTTTACATATTTTTATAAACCGTAGAGAATGACTTGTCAACCAAATCTAAAAAATAACTTTTGACGTTTCACATTAATCATTCCACAATAACTTTGCACAAGCGTACTCACACGATTTAAAATAACCTTTTACGTAAATCCGAAGAATTATGAAGTTATCTGTATTTCATTACAACGTGTATAGTTTTTATTACTAATTTAAATTCTAATCTCTCCAACAAAGCAAAATATTAAAATAAATAACCTGTATCAAATTTTTTACTTGATGTCGTTTCAATGACATGTCGCTATGCACCTTGCCGTAGTGTTTGGATGATTAAAATTTATTGATATGTGAATAATCGGAAAATATACTAAAATAATCGTTAAAAATATTCAAATAAACGAACCATTAATTTTTTAAAAGTATTATTTGTTTAATTTAAATTTTATTTTTAATATTCCTTAAATACCCATGAAGAGAACAAGTTTATTTTTTTACCCTATCAACGTAAATTTGTGTAAGCAAAAATCTCATATACCTTCAAGGCCGCGCTGAAAAACCACTACGTAATTTCAATCTCCCGCCATTTCGGGAGCTTAATGTGCGTAATTTTGTGATTTTGTGTTTTTCTTCTTATTTTGTGACTGCATGGGCATGTGCCCATGTTACAAAGGATGAATGGGCAAAAGTGGTAGACAAAACAAAAAAAAATTGATTATGGATAACTTTGAAAGAGACAATGGCTTTGACTGCATTATTAAAAATCATATAATAATTAATCTAAACAACGACAGCTCAACTGGTTGTTCTGAAAGTGATTGAATAAATTTATTTTTAATCTAGTTTCAATCTTAAATTTTTATAACTTTGCCTCTAGAAATAAGCAGTAACAACAAAGACGAAGAAACTGATGAATCTTGTGTTTTAAATTATCCGTTTTTAATTTATTGTGGTATTATTCAAACCAAACTGCAAATGATTACCAACTCTAAACAATCGTTTATCGATTTTACTAAGAATCGAATATTGTGCGTTCCCATTTTTTGATTGGCATGCTTGGCGCGATAAGTCAGACAGCTGTCAAAATGTATTTCTTAGATTTGTTTGACTATAAGTCCGCTTATAAAATTTACATAAATAAATTGTTAATTATGTTCTGTCGTAGAAAGTAGGTACATATTAAGGTATATATCTGTATGGTCTGTAATTTAATAATTAAAACACTGTTTTTGAATTCGGTCGGTATACGAGCTTTTATGGTGTTTTTTAAGGGTGACAAACGAGCACAAAGTCCACCTGTTGGTAAGTGGTTGCTGTGACCCATAGACATCTACGTCTATCCTCGACAACGAATCAAAATGCAGATGCGTTGTTACCCGTAAGGACTAAGATCTAATGCCTCGTTTCCAGTAAAAAGTATCTCCAGTTCTCTACACTCACCATACGAAACACAGTAGCGTTAAGCAGCTATTTACGCTGGTATTCTTTGAGAGCGTGATTCGTGCTACAACCACAATACAGCTGCAGCGTGGTTCTACCACGTATGAAAAAGTAGTGTTTCACCACGTACCTCAAAAAGCACGTAAAGCTTTTGACCCTGCTCCTGATCTCTCTCCAATCTTGTCGGAATGCTATCCCATTAGACTATAAGAGCGAAGGGAAAGCACCTGTGTTTAACACACAATTGTTATTATAATCCTGTCCTGTGCAGATGGCTCGTCTCCATTGTGGCTAACCACTTTAAGCGGAATTCTGGCTGGAAGACATTTTTTTAAATTATAAATTATTTATTGATTTATAATGATACATTTTAAACCAGTCGCAACCAGGTTCGGTAAATTAAAACACACATGATAATAACACAGGTTTGTGTCATTTTCCTGTGTATATTGGTTTTTTATACTTACGTGAATAAGTACTTCTTCATCAGCCTGAAAATGTCTGTTGCGAAATATGGATCTCTCTCATTGTTAAAATAATTTACATTAGCGCCACACTTGATAAGTTGGTCACCATCGCAATATTAGACATTTTGCATCTTAGATGGCGCTTTTTACACCGGTCTATTATTTAGCGGTTTTAACGCCATCTATCGGAGGCCACTCGACCTCTTTGGGATCACACATAATACATCCCACGATATGAGAACTGTGAGTGGATTCTCTTTATATTTTATTAATAACTAGCGATCTGCTCCGACTTCGATCGGGTTATATCTGGATTGTATAAAACGCCACCTATCGGGTTAAAATATGCCTATAACCTTGAAATAATACTAGTTTTTACGGATTTTATCGCGTATATTTAACTTTTTAAATACTCGACGTTTCGAGAGCTTTACAGCACCCATGGTCACGGGGGGGACTGAGATGTTCAACGTCTAAATGTCATAGTTAAACGCGGTTACCATAGATTAAAGTTTAACTTCTGTTCCGATATACACAGTATGAACTTATGGTATCTTGAAGTCTTGCAGTTGTATGCTTGGGTTGGGATTTAATTTTATTTATTATAGGATCCCGAGCAGATGGTAGCACCCAGCCATCCTCTCTATTGAAATTAGGATGTTTTTTGATTTCAATAGCCTCGCGAATCATCCTTGGAAGGAATCGGTGTACTTTAGCGAGGATTTGTGTTCTATCAAATCTGATGTAGTGACGGGGGCGATCCTGTACGTGTTCACAGACTGCAGGCTTCCCGGAGAGTCGATTCTTCACATCAGCTATATGTTTAGCGAGTCTGATTGATCTTTAATTTGTCCTATGTAGGAGAGACCACATTCACAATCAAGCTTGTACACTCCTGCGTCTTGCAGAGGGACGTTACACTTTACTGATGGTAAAAACTGACCCATCTTCTTCGGGCTTGAAAAGTATGTTTTGATGGAAGCGCGCTTCAAGATGTAGCCAATCTTGTCAGTGACTCCTCTAACATATGGCAGTACAGCAGGTACACGCTCGACTGTGGCCGGCTTCACTCGTTCACTGTGACGCAGTCGCGGGAAGCTTGTTGTCATGCAAAACCTGCTTTACATGGTGGAGCTCAGTAGCCAGGTGCCTACTGTCACAGATTCCGTGCTCTCTGAAACAAAGATTTACCCACGGTAGCTAACTGCGAAGGATGGTGGTGAGAATCACTGTTTAAATATCTATCTGTATGGGCTTTTTTCTATACACAGTATGGCTCAAGGTGTTATCAGGATTCCGAATTACTAACACATCTAGAAAAGCTATGGAATTGTTTGCCTCTAACTCCACTGTGAGCTGAATTTTAGAATTTATAGAGTTAAGATGGTCTAAAAATGCAGTTAATTTATCTAAAGGTAGAATTGTGAAAGTGTCGTCTACGTACCGCTTGCAGAATCTCGGATTTGTGGGAGAAGTAAGCAGGGCTTTCTCCTCAAAGTCTTCCATGAATATGTCGGCGACAATGGGAGATACAGGTGACCCCATCGCCACACCATCTACTTGCTTGTAGAACTCCTCCTTCCACAATAGGTAGCCATATGTAAGGCAATGTCTGAGTAATACTGCATATTCTACGGGCATGTTGTTTTCTTCCAGCCTTCTAGTTACAATTGAGATGCAGTCTTACACAGGTAAGCATGTTAACAATGACTGCACATCAAAACTGACCATAGTTTCATTGTCTGCCAGACGTAGGTCTTTAATCTCGCCTACAAAATGGTAGGAATCTTTTATGTGTACTCTTGTATGTCCCCTGAGCGGCGAGAGTATTTTCGTGGTTTATTAAGTGTTGAGCCAATCTGTAAGTTGGTGAATCGATTTGGCTCATTATGGGACGTAATGGAGCATTGTGCTTTTGTATTTATATAGTGTATTTCTTGTGTAAAAACTAGTATTATTTCAATGTGTAGTGTTCGCGTAAATATAGGAAATCATTATGCTTATAACCTTCTCGAAAGTGCAAGCAATATGATGACAAAGTTTTACCGCAATCTGATGAAGGGTATGGCAGCGCATAAAATACGAACCAACAAATATTAATTTTATGTATTAGAAAATAATTGAACTAAGTTTTATTTTTTCAGGACATTTCAAAGGATCTCCTGAAATACAGAATTTTGCCCACAAAGAATTACTCAAGAGGCCTACGCCGTTTTAAAAACCGATTCACTAAGAACCATTTTTAATAATATGGTGTAAAATATTATTTTGTATGCCCTTGCAAATTAAAAGATTGGACACAATAATATTTTTTTATTTTTCATCAATAAATTGCATTTTATGAATTTTATGAGTTATATTTAAAAAATATGTTTGGTAGTGAAAGCTGAGTGTGGCAGAAGAAGCACGATAGTAGAATAAATGCTGTAAAAATGCGGTCTTTAAGAAGTATGCTAGGGTTGAATCTGAATGACAGGGTGAGAAATTGCGTGATAATAGATAAATGTGGTATGCAAGATGATGTTGTGACTAGGATTAAGAAAGGAATACTTCGGTGATTTGGTCATGTAGCAAGAATGAACAAAGAAAGAGTGACAAAACAAATTTATATTGCAGATGTGGACGGCAGAGTCGGGAAGGGATGCCGTAGACGAATGTTTATCGACTAATTTGGCAATA